CCCTTTAGTTTCTTCCCTTGCCTGTTGGCTTCCCTCTGTTGGGCCTCATGGAGTTGTGACCTTCATTGTCTTTTTCTAGGATATTGTTTAGAACTGTTTGGAGTGCTGGTTTGGTGTTCATGAAATTTCTCAGCTGTTCTTTGTTGTGGAAATATCTAATTTCCCCATCAATTTTGAAAGATAATTTTGCGTGATACAACAGTCTAGGTTGGAAGTTATTTTCTTTTAGGGCTTGAGATGTTTCAGTCCAGGCTCTCCTTGACTTAAGGGTTTGTGTTGAGACATCTGCTGTGATTCTGATGGGCTTTGATTTGTAGGTGATTTGTTTCTTTTCTCTAACTGCTTGTAGGATTTTGTTCTTCCATTGGGTTTCTGGGATCTTGACCATTATATGTCTCGGTGTAGTTTTTTTTTTTATCATGGCTAGTTGGAGTTCTATATGCCTCACTTATCTTTATGTCCAATTCTCTGCCTCTGTCTGGGAAGTTTTCTACTATTAGTTCTGTGAACAGGTTTTTTATGTCAATTGTACTTTCTCCTGTGTTTTCGTGGACTCCTTTCAGTCTTATGTTATTTTTCTTTGAATCATCTAGCAGCTGCTGGATTGATTTCTCATGGTCCCTTACTATTTTTAAGAAATCTCTGATTTCATGGTCACTAATCACAATCCTGTCTGTACATCTGATATTCTATCTTCACATTCCCTTAGTGTGCTGTGAATACTTTCAATGGAGTTTTTACCCCTCTGGATATCTGTTTGAATCTATTTCATGGATTCCATTTCTTTCTTATGCAGGGCATTCATGGCTTCCAGCATGGCTCTGAGCTCATCTGTTTTTTATCTGTTTGTGTTCTAGAGCCTCTAATCATGTCTTTCACTCTGCTCACCATCTCTGTAGTTATCTGGGGAATTATTTCTGTTTTGAATTTTTCTAGAGTTCATTCATCTGTTTTGTTACTTCCTGTGCTATCAGTTCAGGGTTTCCAGGTGGTTTATTATCAGACTTTTCCACCTCGTTTCCCCTGAATTTGCCTTTGTTGGGGTTGAAGTCTGAGTTTGTGCCTTGCTTAAATGTCTTCTCAACATTTTTGGTATCGTCCTTGGTTTAATTCCTGGGTTGCTACTTCAGAATTGCTTATTGTAAGTATCTTTGTTGCTTATATTTAGAACTCTTATGGAATGATTGCTTCTCAGAGGTGTCTTCCAGATATAGCTGGTCTTTAGGTTTTGAGTCTCTAATGAGTCTGAGGCTCTCTCATTTTCATTATACCAGGAAGGACAACTGATTTGATCAATCACAACACCTCAGCCCAAGTGATACAATTAATAACACCATAGCATCAAGCACAGTTTAGAAAATGCCACTTTGTGGCAGTTATTAATCTATCACCTTTAAGTGTGTGAATTAAATCAAAATCAAGGACCAACCCAACATATGTTTATAGTGAATAAACTCTTCAATATAGCAACTTTACCCTTAGGGATGGGGAGTCAGAAGGAGTTGGGAAGGGAGGGATAGATAGTTAGAAGGATAGGGGAAGGGTAGCAGTGAGGCCAGAGGACACAGGACAATCATGCAAACTCTAAGAAACTGTTGAAGACAGGAGGAAAAGACAGAATGAAAGAACAAAGATGAGAACAGAACAACCTAACAACAATAGGGAGGCTAGAAAGTGTATTTACTTCCCTTTAAAACTAATGACAATCGAGAGAAGGAAAAAGGGAAGAAAAGGAAAATGAAATCCAGAACAGGAACAAAAAGAGAGATGAAGAATAATGTGGAACAGCAAGAGAGCATGAGAGAGAGAGAGAGAGAGAGAGAGAAGAGAAAAAAAGAAAAAGAAGAGAAAAATAAAAATTTGAAGAGTAGCATAATAAAAATTAAAAATTAAAAATAAGAGCAAAAAATAATAATT